AGGGAGGGAGGGAGGAAGGAAGGAAGGAAGGAAGGAAGGAAGGAAGGGGGAGAAGGAAGGAGGGAGGGTTGTGCACTTTGGTAAAAAGACTTCCCATCCTTTGATCTGGCCGATTGAAGGCCCACATATTTATAGGGTCGCCAACTGTGGATTGGGAAATACCTGGATATGTGTGTATGGGGGTGTAGCTTAGGGAGTGTGGGGTTCAGGGAGGGGAGGGGCCTCAGTGGGGTGCAAGGCCACAGACTCCACCTGATCTCTGTCCCCTGGAGAACAGTTCTGATATCAGTTCTCCAGACCGCACCTGGAGGTTGGCAACCCTACACATATGGCTGCACGCCTGGGAGAAGTGTGTCCCTCGTGAGCCACAGTCATGCAGAAGATGTCCTTCCCTTCGTCCCCATGGCCTCTCTGCACACCCACAACCCCCCAGGCAACCCCCCGTTTCCCCCGCCCCATACCGCCACACAATTCCTCTCTTCTCTGTCCGGTTGACCCTGGAGGCCCCTTTGACTGAGGGCCACAAGCCCCTCTCTGTGTTGTGCGCCGGGCCCTGAAGGGACGTTAAGGAACTCCCGTGTGCGTCCAGAAGAGACCTCCTGAGCGGCCCTGGCACCAGCCGGCTTCCAAACATGGCGGCTGGCTTTCCCCTCTGGCCAGTTTCCCGCTGTGGCCCCCGGCTCCAGCCAGTCACGGCCCTTTCTCCCGCCTCATACCTCATGTCTTCCTTCTCTGGGTCCGAGTCGGCGTGGAAACTGGCAGCTCGAAGGAGATCGCTGCCCCCAGGATGGTGCCAGCACAGCCTCTGGGCGGGACAAGGAAGGGGGGGAAGAACGTGAATTCCATGGGGCAGATCTTGCAGATCTAACCCTCAGAGCCTTATGAGAACAGCGGAAGAGCCCCGCCGGATCAGGCCAGGGAGGGTCCCTCTAGTCCAGCCTCCTGCCTCGCACAGTGGCCATCGGTGTTCCCTCTAAGCTGAGTCAGTGTGAGCTAGCTCACCATTTTTTTAGCCTCCAGCTCACCCATTTTGGTCTTAGCTCAGGAAGGAGGGCTCCAGAACAAACTGATTTATGCAGAAGCCAAATGGCTCGGTCTCAACTTTAATGCCAGGAGCTCACCAAGTAGGATTCTTGCTCACAAGACTCCACAGCATTGGTGGCCAAACAGTGCCTCTGGAGGGCTAACCAACAGGGCATGGTGGCCGAGGCCTTCCTCTGTTAAGAATATCCCTGCTGAATCAGACCAACAGTCCATCTAGTCCACCATCCTGTCTCACACAGCGGCCAGCCATTCCCCTGAGAAGAACGTCAGAAGAGCCCTGCTGTGTCAGACCAGTGAGGGTCCATCCAGTCCAGCCTCCTGTCTCTCACACGGGCCAGCCAGTTCCTCTGGAGGGTCAAGAATAGGGCAGAGAGGCCGAGGCCTTCCCCTGAGAAGAACCTCAGAAGAGCCCTGCTGGATCAGACTAGTGAGGGTCCATCTAGTTCAGCCTCCTGTCTCACATAGTGGCCAACCAGTTCCTCTGGAGGGTCAAGAATAGGGCAGAGAGGCCGAGGCCTTCCCCTGAGGAGAACCTCAGAAGAGCCCTGCTGGGTCAGACCAGGGAGGGTCCCTCTAGTCCAGCATCCTGTCTCACACAGTGGCCAGCCAGTTCCTCTGGAGGGCCAACAACAGGGCAGAGAGGCCGAGGCCTTCCCCTGAGAAGAACATCAGAAGAGCCCTGCTGGGTCAGACCAGGGAGGGTCCCTCTAGTCCAGCATCCTGTCTCACACAGTGGCCAGCCAGTTCCTCTGGAGGGCCAACAACAGGGCAGAGAGGCCGAGGGACAGGCAGCCTGAACACATGGAACTGCTTTCTACTAACTCAGACCCTTGGTCTATTAAGGTCGGTCTTGTCTACTCAGACTGGCACCGGTTCTCCAGGTCCTTTTTAACAGGAGATGCCGGGGAGTGGGACTGAACCTGGGACCTCCTGCATGCCAAGCAGAGGCTCTGCCACTGAGCCACAGCCCCTCTTTACAGCTCTCCAGGGTCTCGGGCGGAGGTCTTTCCCATCACCTCCTGCCTGGTCCTTTTTAACTGGAGATGCTGGGGACTGAACCTGGGACCTTCCGCATGCCAAGCAGAGGCTCTGCCACTGAGCCACGGCCCCTCTTTACAGCTCTCCAGGGTCTCAGGCGGAGGTCTTTCCCATCACCTCCTGCCTGGTCCTTTTTAAGTGGAGATGCCGGGGACTGAACCCGGGACCTTCTGCCTGCCAAGCAGAGGCTCTTCCACTGAGCCACAGCCCCTCTTTACAGCTCTCCAGGGTCTCAGGCGGAGGTCTTTCCCATCACCTCCTGTCTGGTCCTTTTAACTGGAGATGCTGGGGACTGAACCTGGGACCTTCCGCATGCCAAGCAGAGGCTCTGCCACTGAGCCATGGCTCCTCTTTACAGCTCTCCAGGGTCTCAGGCGGAGGTCTTTCCCATCACCTCCTGCCTGGTCCTTTTTAAGTGGAGATGCCGGGGACTGAACCCGGGACCTTCTGCACGAGAGGCTGCCACTGAGCCATGGCTCCTCTCCTGAGTTGCCCAGGGGCCTGGGGAGTTGGTGGGCTCTCCTTCACCGGAGATCTTGAAGCAGAGGCTGGCTGGGCGTCTGTCAGGGATGCTGGAGTTGTGTGTTGCTGCACTGCACGGGGGCTGGACTAGATGACCTCCAGGATCCTGTCCAGCCCCAACACCCTCGGACTCTGCAAGCCTCTCTCCCAGCTAGATCCCACCCCGGCACAGGCGACAAACATGCAGCTCTCACCGGGATGCGCCGTCCGTTGAAATGCACGAAGGCTCTCTTCAGCTCATTGTCCAGGAAGCCGTTGGGGACCCAAAGGTACTTTGGAAGGCTGCAGAGAGACAGCGAGCCATTGGCAAGAAAGACACGCCTGCACGCCTCCTCATGCCCTCGTTCTCCTAAAAGAAAGTTCCCTTCCCCAGCAGGTGACACAAACTCAGAAGAAGAGGAGGAGGAGATTGGATTTATTCCCCTGCCCTTCACTACCCGAAGGTGTCTCAGAGCAGCTTACAAACTCCTTTCCCTTCCCCTCCCCACAACAGACACCCTGTGAGGTAGGCGGGGCTGAGAGAGCTCTAGAAACTGCTCCTGAGAGAACAGCTCTGACAGAACTACGGCTTGCCCAAGGTCATCCAGCAGGTGCAAGTGGAGGAGGAGTGGGGAATCAAACCCGGTTCTCCCAGATTAGAGTCCGCGCACTTAACCACAACACCAAACTAGTTCTTTTCTTATCTACTTGACAACTGTACCTTTTCCCTCTGTTTGACTCCCCTGGCCTATTTAGTCACGACAGACTTCAGGAGCCCAAGATCGGGGGGAGGGGGAGGGGAGGAGTGGGGGGAGGAGAAGAGTTGGATTTATATCCCGCCCTTCAGTCGGAGTCCCAGAGCGGCTTACCGTCCCTTCCTCTCCCCACAACAGACACCCTGTGGGGTAGGCGGGGCTGAGAGGCCTCTCTCGAGAACTGCCCGTGAGAGAACAGCTCTGAAAGAACTTGTGACTGACCCAAGGTCTCCCCGCAGGCTTCACGGGGAGGAGGAGTAGGGAATCAAACCCAGTCCTCCAGGTTAGTGTCCGCCGCTCTTAACCACTACACCAAATTGAACAGAGAGACGCCCACCCCCCTTCCCCAAACCCTGCTCTCTCAGAGGAGCTTAGCAGCGGCCAGCCCTTCCTCTACCTGGTGGACATATCGAAGCGCTCGTTGACCGGGCTGACCCGCCAGCCAGCCGCCCCGAGGCGCTTCAGCTCCTTCTCCCAGTCGCGGAGGGTCTCGAAAAGTAGCGTGGGAAACTCTTCCTCTTCCTTCTTCAGTTGGCTGTTCCCTGGAAAGACTGGAGACATTAATGTGATCCATAGAGGACTGGGGGGGGGTTTGCCCAGTCACGCGATCCCCCTTGGCCCGCCCTCTTCATTTGCTCACCCAAATTCCTCAGAGCTGCAGGTTCAAGGCCACGGCCTCTGCTGCTGCTCTCCTGGGCCTGCACGATGGCCATGGTCACCTGGAAAGAAAGGCTTCGTTTCAGAGGTTCTGCTCGATCTTGTTCTTTGGAAAGGTCCAATATAAATTCTTGGAGAATGCTCAATATAAATTGAAGGAATGCCCAATATAAATTGAAGGAACGCCCAATATAAATTCTTGGGAAATGCCCAATATAAATTCTTGGGAAATGCCCAATATAAACGGAGGGAATGCCCAATAGAAGTTCTTGGGGAATGCCCAATATAAATTGAAGGAAATAAATAAACAAATGCCACTTCCTCTGCTGCTTTCTATGCAATTATATTTACGCGCTTTGTTGCATGTCACTCTGAATACTTAAAAGGGACCCCAGCGGCATCCTCAGGCTAACAGAAAAGAGGCTTGGAAAGCTGGACTTGCCTGGGGTGCCCCTCCTATTCTGCAGAGAGCAGGAGAGCAGCATGATTGATTGACGATCCCTCCCAGTGGGATCTGGAGGCAAGACAAATTCTTCAGTTCCCTGTCTTGAAGGGAAGGGGCTCACTCTCTTTCAATCGGAGACTCCCACAGCCAAGAAAAGCAGATCCCAAAACAGCCTACACAGTCTGGAGCTGGGGCCCTGCCTTTGGTCTTTAATCTGATGCAGCTCTGCCTAGAGGGGTCTTTAGCCCAGGCTTCCCCAACATGGTGCCTGTGGGCGCCATGATACACGCCTTTTCCTGGTGCCCAGTAAGTGTTTCTAGAAAGTAGGAGGGTCCTAGCAGGGCTTCTAATTGGCCATGTGAGGTCTGATTGGCTTTGTGTCAAACTCGGCCCTCGATTGCCATGTGTTTGTTAACTGTCTGGCTCCGGTATCTGTGGCTCACTGCCCTGTTTCAATCTAGCTGGGAACTGGGGGGGGGGGAGTGTGTGGAGTTGCTTTGCTGAAAGTTGCGCTGGCTTGTAACTGCGTCTATGCGGGGCCTCCTCACTGTGGGAAGTATGTGTGCTTGACCTTGAGTAACAGACACTGCTAGATAATTTAACTGTAGGCCTGCAGGTCCTGGGGAAGAAATAGTGAAGCACCGTAGATTTTGGTGGGCTGGATGTATGGGTGTGATTGGACTGGTCATGGGGGATGTGTGTGTTTGAATGAGTCCGGCCAGGTGGTGGCAGTGCTGCGCTGCAACTTGAAGCAGTCTTGGAGAAAAGCTGACGACATCAAGCCACGCCGAGGGAAAAAATGCCGTTGGAACATATCTGACCCTACAGCTGAACAAACTCCCCGTTGACTACGAACGTGTGTGATTTAAAGATCTATATGTTGTCTTCCCTTACCCCTTGAATCATTGTTAGTCCTGTGTGTATACGAGTAACTGTAAATCGCTCAGAGCCAGCAAGCTCTGCAGGATTGAGCGATTAATAAATTGAAAATTATTATTATCATCATCATCATCATCATTATTATTATTATTATTATTATATGAGAACTGGCACCAAGGGAGACAGTTCTGACACAGATTCGTCTATGCTTGAAATCTCTTTATCTCTCAATAAACAAATCACTGCCAAGAGAGTGTTGTTGGGAGCGAGTTTCTTCAAGATCTAACACTTTGCAGGGTTTTTTTAAATCTTGCTTTGGCAGCAGTTGCCGCCACAGCCCAAGGATCTTTGCCGTGTGACTAAAGATAAGCCATGTGTCGGGGGGGAAGTATTTTTAAGCCATTTAAAAAGACATCCTGTTAAGCAGAGCTTCTTCCTGAAATGCTGAAGCGTTACTGTTAAGAGTTTCAAGCGGAGGCTGGATGACCCTCTTTCGGGTCTGTTGTAGGGCTCTCTTTCAGCTGTGCTCCTGCAGAGTGCAGGGGGTTGGACTAGATGACCTGCAAGGTCCCTTCCAACTCAAACATTCTATGATTCTATGAGTTTATGGTGGACATGTAAAAAGGTCGATAAATACGGGATTGGGAGTACATACTCTCTTACAATCAGTGTTGAATATTTACAATAGTTTTTAAACCAGAAGTATTCCTGTTAAACTGTCTAGCAGGTGACTTAGATAAGAACCATAGATATTTTATTTTACGTGTTATAACAGCATCCGGAATCTTATTCGCAACAACATGAAGGACACTGAAAATCCCAACGCCTGATGAGTTGATAACGAAGATTATGGAATGTGCTGAAATGGACAGATTGACGGCTTCCGGTCTGGCTCCCGCGAAAGGCAGACGCATCCTCGGGTCGCTCCCGAGGGCGCCTTGCCCGCCCGCGGTGGAGGAGGGAATCCGCGCAAGCGGAGACCCGAACGAGCCCCTCAGATGAGAGGAGCTCGGATCCGGGGCGCTTTAGGGCGTTCCAGGGGGGAGTCTCTCTTTCGGTCGAGAGATCGGAGATTGAGACTCTCGCCATGCCCTGCCCCTTTGGACCTTGCTGCGTGAGCGACCCCGTTCTACGGGGTTTAGCGGAACCACCGGGCGTCACCGAGTGATGAAGCGAATATCCGAAAAAAATGGAAAAGAAAAGACTGGCGTAACTGTGAGTTGTCAAAATACAGAGAAAATGAACTAAGAACCTTTTCCCCCCCCCCTTCAGCGGAAAATGAGGAGGTTAATCCTCTATAAGCAGAGAAAGAAAAAAAAAAGAAAAGAGGGGGGGAATGGACTGAGCGAATAGTGATGTTTTCCTTTGATGTACTTGAAAATAAGCAAGAGGTTTTGTTTCCCTGGAGCGCATTTTAAAAACTTTACTAAAAATAAAAAAACAAGATGTCGGAGCTGGGTAAAGACAAGCGGGGGAGAAGGGAGGGACTTCCGTCTGGGCGTTTGTGTCAACGTGAGTGCCGGCTGTTTAATATTTGGACTGTGTATGGCTATGAATCCAACGGGGATTGTGAAGGAAAAGAAAAGCTTGAATTGTGACAGCGAAAAGTGCCTCATGAGCGCTTATAAAAGTCAACAATTGAAGAGGAGAATCCAGCGAAGGGATTGGGAGCGGATAAAAGCGAAATTGAAATTAATACCATTCTCAAAGCTGGAGATCTCCGGGCATGGCATGAAAGGAAGACAGCTTACAGCACAGGAACTGAAAGAGTTAACAGCGACCCGAAGGAGGAGGGGAAGAAGCCGGAGGCAAGAGAAAAACAGAGGAAGCCCCTCCCGTCACTGAGAGGGGAAAAGTAACCAGCGCGTTAAAGAAGCGGTTTTGAATGTGCCCTGAAGAGACTTTTTAACAGAAATTCAAAGGAACATTACTAACAAATTAACATAGAAAGTAACTGGAATGGAAAAAAGATGTTTGACAACACGCAGAAGAAGCCTTTGATGATTGGACATTACTAACAGTTTACTCTAACAGTTAATACATCACTCAGCTTTCTCTTTCTCCCACTATATACCCTCCTTATCTTTCTTTTTAAGCGAAACTCCTCCCCTTTTTAGGGGAGTCAATAAAATCTTTATACAAAAAAAAAAGAAATGGACAGATTGACAAATATACTAAAAGGACAAATGGAAGAAGAATTCATGGGACCCTGGAGGGCGTTCTATGACTGGTTAAAACATAAGTACTGAGAAACTAAGACTAAATGAAGAACAATAAGAAAGATGGTTATAATAGCTGTGAAACTTTCAGGAGAAGATTTGCATGCAGAATGTTAAATTGGATTTTTAAAAAATATATAACTCTGTAATCTCCTTTTCCCCCTTTCTATATATAACTAATAAAACTCTTTTTAAAAAGAGTTTATTCTCTTTTTAAAAAAGAGTTTATTCACAACCTCACTCCCTGAGATTTCGTGGCTGACTCCGCCTCTGCGGGTGGCTATTTTGTCACTGTGCCCACCATCCAGTGTCACGATCCCAAAGGTGACCGCAGCGCAGGCTTAAAAAGGTCGGGGATCCCCGTCTTAGCCCAACAGCCCAGGGGCCGATCAATGTAACGGCCTCTGTCCCGCTGGCTTCCTGGCTCCCGGCCAGACTCACCCGGAAAGCCTGAGGTTCCAGACCGCTCTCGTGGAAGCGAAATCTCAGCACCCGGAAATCCCTGCAGTAGATGATCAGCTCTTCTGGGATGAACTTCAGGGTGGAAGTACCAGTCAGCACCTTTGCTTTTGTAAAGCTATTGACTAAGACGTTAAAAAAAAAAATTGAATCAGACAACGTTGGTGAAATGAGTTGGGGAAAACAGGGGAGATTTCCGGTGGCAGGCAGAACAGAGGAGGAGGAGGAGGAGGAGGGGGCGGACAGGAGGAGAGAGAGAGAAGAGAGAAGAGAGGAGATTGGATTTATAGAACAGAGGAGGAGGAGGAGGAGGAGGAGGAGGAGAGGAGAGAGAAGAGAGAAGAGAGAAGAGAGGAGATTGGATTTATACCCCGCCCTTCACTACCTAAAGGTGTCTCAGAGCGGCTCACAAACTCCTTTCCCTTCCCCTCCCCACGACAGACACCCTGTGAGGTAGGCGGGGCTGAGAGAGCTCTTGACAGAAACGGCTCTTTTTCAAGAACAGCTCTTGTCAGAACTACAATAAGAAAAATGGGGCTCACCAAAGAAAATTACTCTTCTATATCTTTAACACACTTAGTTGTATTATTATACCACATTTCCTGTAATAACTAGCATTCATTCATTATATATGAAGTACATGATTTCATGAACATAAGCAAAGCCAGTAAATGATAATATGAGTACAATACAAAACAATACAAAATCTTGATGTAGTTATTCTTGACATTGTTTTGGCTGAGCTCCTGGAATGTTTACTCTTTGAGATGTCCTGATAGAGCTTATCAGAACTACGGCTTGCCCAAGGTCATCCAGCAGCTGCGAGTGGAGGAGTGGGGAATCCAACCCGGTTCTCCCAGATTAGAGTCCGCGCTCTCCACCACTACACTACATAGAGACACAGAGCTGGAAGGGACCCCAAGGGTCATCTAGGCCAACCCCCTGCACAATGCAGGGACTTCACAGCTCCCCTCCCCCACAACCCCCTGCTCTGTGCCGAGAGAAAGGCAAAAACCCTCCAGGATCCCTGGGCCAATCTGGCCTGGGGGGGGAAATCCTTCCTGACCCCAAAGTACCAGTCCGGCATTAAACAAGGCATATAAGGGAAGGAGGGGTATTAATTTGCCCAGGCCGTGGGTGGTGCTTTCAAGCCCCACACCGGGATCCTGTCCCCACCCATGAGCAGCAGAATGAGAGAAACACACCTGCCTCCTCCGTTGGCCTCATGTATGCACGCTGCCACACCTGAGTGACCTGGGGGCAGAATATTGTTTTAAGTGCAGAAAAGGAAATGGAAACTCTCTGTAGAGACTTTCCAGGATCCGGTTCTCCTCCCTCCTTTTTAACAGGATGACGACATCCCTGCCGGCACGTCCGCTCGGCCTGGCTGTGGCCCTTTCTCCTCCGAAAGGCCTCATGAGGGAGCTGAGACGGCCACCGCCTGTGATGGCCTTCCAGAGCTCCGGCAAGACTGAGCTCTTTCGGCAGAACTTCTGCGCAGGCAGCAGCAAGAAAGATGGCGGACGACTGGGCCTTCGGAGGTTGGGTTTAACGGGTGGGTTATAGTTTCCATGAGACGAGGAGGAGGAGGAGAAGGAGGAGGAGGAGGAAGAGGAGGAGATTGGATTTATACCCCACCCTTCACTACCCAAGGGAGCCTCAGAGCCGCTTACCATCTCCTTCCCCTTCCCCTCCCCACAACAGACACACCCTGTGAGGCAGGTGGGGCTGAGAGAGCTCTGACAGAAACGGCTCTTTTTCAAGAACAGCTCTTATCAGAACTACGGCTTGCTCAAGGTCATCCAGCCAGGTGCAAGTGGAGGAGTGGGGAATCAAACCTGGTTCTCCCAGATTGGAGTCCAAACTGGGATGAGAGTGGATTTATAACCCGTCCTTCACTACCCGAGGGAGTCTCAGAGCCGCTTGCCCAGGGTCACCCAGCAGCTGCAACTGGAGAAGTGGGCAATCAAACCTGGTTCTCCCAGATTAGAGTCCGCGCACTTCACCACAACACCAAACTGGGATGAGACTGGATTTATACCCCGCCCTTCACTACCCGAGGGAGTCTCAGTGCCGCTTACCATCTCCTTCCCCTTCCCCTCCCCACAACAGGCACCCTGTGAGCAGTGTTCTCTCTAAGCTGAGTGAGTGTGAGCCAGCTCACAGTTTTGTAGCCTCCGGCTCATACATTTTTGTCTCAGCTCAGGAAGGAGGGCTCCAGAAGTAAACTACGTTATGCAGTAGCCAAATCGTTTGCTCACAACTCTAATGCCAGTAGCTCACAAAGTAGGATTTTAGCTCGCAAGACTCCACGGCTTAGAGGGAGCATTGCCTGTGAGGTAATTGGGGCTGAGAGAGCTCTTTTGAGGACTGCCCTTGAGAGAACAGCTCTGAAAGAACTTGTGACTGACCCAAGGTCATCCAGCAGCTGCAGGTGGAGGAGTGGGGAACCAAACCCAGTTCTCCCAGATTAGAGTCCGCGCTCCTAACCACTACACCAAGAGAGTGTGGGCAACAAACTCTTTCAATAAATAAGCAGAAATCATAAAGAACAAGCATGTAACAGCGATCATGTCACACACTGCTGTGAAGTAGGCTAAGAAGAGAAAGTTCTACCACAGAGCCATCCCGGGGCTTCACACAGCATTGCCAACCTCCAGGTGTTGGCTGGAGATCTCCTGGCTTTACAACCGATCTCCCGGTGACAAGAGTTCAGTTCCCTGGAGAAAACGGCCGCTTTGGATGGCGGACCCTTTGCCCGGAGCTGGCAACCCTAGCTTCACGGTCAAGGCAGAGTTTTTTGTTTTTCAAATTTCTCTCCCGCTCTGCTGTTCCTAAGATCACCCAGAGTGGGATACAATAGAAGAAGAAGAAGGAGAAGAAGAAGAAGAAGAAGAAGGAGAAGA